CGAAGACGCGGCCCAGTCCATTAGAGAAAGAATGACCCTTTAAGGCAGGCGCTGTTAGGGGAAAATGGGGAGAACCTCCTCTCCCGAAACATTGGGCATGACGATGATGAAGTGGGATCAGCAGCGGAACGGCTGGGAGACATGGTGATGCTGCATCTGTGGCGCGCGAGTGCACCTTGGCCTCATGGAGGGCCTATGCGTGTATCCCAACATCCCGACATCCTAACCTCCTCTGTTACCGAAGCATGCTGAGTATCCCGCGGTTCCTCCTCCCCCACCAAGGGAAACGGGAAAACAGTCTTCACCCGACGCACCATGGAGGCTAGCAGAGAATATGCTGATGCTCGGGCTGGTGGCAATGATGTTAGGCGATGGGACGACCTTCTGATGGCGAATGGGATGTTCAATGGGTGCCGCCACGGGCGCGTCAGACAGAGCCTTTTGCTCTGTCTTACTGACCATCTGCAATGCAGCGCTGCCAATTTCTACGTCCACGCCTATGCAGTTCGTGGATATGCCGCAGCTATTTCCACTGCTCAAAAAGTCTCGCACTAACTCGTTGGCCTGGGGTACCTCCGCATTTGTCGCAACCCTCACCCATTTTCATTCGTGTAGGCCCCAGTGGGTCGTGTGAAATGTTCGTGCCCTCTTCATCGGGCGCATAAGATAAGTTGTCAGGAATGCGTCTTCGAGCGCGTCTTTTGCCCAGCCTCGTGCTTTGCAAATTTCAATAAAGTTCGCACTCACGTGCAACATCCTGTTTTGCGACAACCTCTTTATCCGGCGTTGGTGCACCCTGATCAATGTCCGATGCGTGATTGTTGCCGTAGTCTTGATTGGTACCGACGGATGTGTGCCACAACTTTTTTGACGAATCAAGTGGCAAACACCCAGCGTGAAGGTATGAATCGTAATTTTGCTTTTCCCATTTGTCCACGCAACATTCTGATACGTTGTCATTGGAGGCGCCGAACGAAACCGATCTGCACTTTGTGTGTTGCGCAGTTTGGGCGAATATGCAATGATCCACTTTGGTATACCACGCTGCTGGGCGGCAGGCTGAGGCTCCCCGAATCCAGAAAAACACGTTGGAATGAACCGCTGCTGAAGTAAAGTGTGTGCGACGTGGGTGGGGAAGGCGCGTTCCCACTAACACGCGGCACACATAGTTGCGCAAATTTGTCCAAGAGTACTGGGTATAATCGGCGGTATGGATAACCCGCCGAAGATTGCGCTGGGAATCAAAACCGCGTGATCAAATTATTCCGACGGTACGGCCCCGCATGCCAATCTTCCCGGTCAGTCTGTAAGTAACCCTCATCGTCGTTTTGGAGATTGCTGAGACTCTCTTCCTGTATCCTCTGCGCCATTCCCTTTCCCCCCCTGGTGCAGCCTCCCGCCGTCTGGTTTGCCTCCTCTTCGCCTCCCGCCTGTCCTCCCCCTCCGCCACCTCCCCCTTTCCTATTGCAAGGGCGCCCGCATCGATTGTGGTTGGCGCCGTTGCCATTTCGGTCGGCAGGGGCGCGATTCCCGATGGCAAGATCATGCAAGATCGGGGCAACCTCGCAGGCAACGCAGTTGGAACAAACCCGCAGGGCGCTGGCGCGCGAGACCAAATCGCTGGGGCAAACTCGCGGGCATCGAGCGGGGCGCGGCCGCGCTCAGGCGGGAGGCATCGCGAAGCCCAGCTCTGCGGTGAGCTGCTCGGCCCCATCCCCAGAGCTCGCCGCTCGCGCGTCGAACTCCCAGAATGCCTTTCGCAAGGACGCCGTCGGCCCGCGCCCCCGAAACTCGCGCGAGGGCGGCCGCGGGATCAACGTGTTCCGCGTGCGCGTGGCGAGGGAGATCGTGGCGCGAGATGCAGCCACCGCTGCTCGTCCGACACGCCCATGCGGCCAGCGCCCTCATCCTTGGCGCAGCCCCCTGCGACATAGTAGAGGTGCTGTAGGAGGCGCGCGCATGTAAAGGGTGAACCCCGAGCGGCGATCGGCATGCGGCCCCGAGTTGTCATGCGAGCTCCTGCTCGCCGGGCCTGCGCACGAGCAAGTTCAGCGCCCGCGCCTCGGCCTGGCCGTCGTCGTCAGCGCCATCGGCGACCTGTAGCAGCAGCTTGGCAACCTCCTGGTACATGTGGGAGGGACTTTTTCCTGGTGCACCTGCAGCCAGACTCTATGTGGGAGGAAGCGGGGGCGGGAAAGCTGGCCTCGCCCGCGCTCCTCGTGCCGCTGCTCGTCCTCGTGGTGAAGCTCGAAGGACACGGTGGTGGCCCGTGACTCCTGCACGAGCCCCAACTTCTTCTTCAGCTTCTCCTGCGCGGCCGCGAACTGACCCTCAATGCCGGCGCATGCCGGTAAGACGCCGAGAGTGCCCCTCGCCTTGTGCATGTTCGGGGCGTTCAGGAGGCGCGGACCCGCGTCGGGATCGCCGTGGATCGTGGTGCATTCGTCCACGGCCTGCAGGACAACGAGGGGCACGCCCAGACGCCGTGCGTCGCGACGAGCGCGCGTGTTGATCAACATCGTCGACGTCTCTCCGTAGATGCCCATGCCATAGCCCAGCCGGAGAGGGCCATAGGGAGGGGGCCTCACAGGGAGGGGGCTCCCGCGTGACACTTCCTCACAACTCACTCAGAGACGAGGCTCCAGTTTACAATGTCTTCCAGATCCACGCTTCAGTGGCCCAAGCGTGACGACTGTCACACGGTTTGGATGGCCCGCTTGGATCCCGGCGGCCCTATAAGCAGGGGAAGGGCCCCCCACGCGAAAATTCTTCACCACTCACAGACGAAGCTTCCGCTCGAGACCTTTCCCAGATCCACGCCTCAGGACCCCCGCAAGGGACGACTGTTGCAGGGTTTGGATGATCCGCTCGGATTACTAACATGACCTTGCGGCCCCATGAGAAGGGGGGTCCCGCCTGTGACTTCTTCCACACCACCCACTCAGAAACGGAGCTCCCGCTCGACTTCCTGCATACCCGCGCCTGAGGGGCCTAGAAGTGTTGACACTTACGAAATATGAATGGTCCGCTCGGATTTTTAACATCACCTGGCAGCCCCATGGGGAGTGGGCCCCCGCTTGGGACTTACTGACCGTTCATTCACTGGCGAAGTTCCCGCTCGAGACTTCCTCCAGATGCACGCCTCGGGAACCCCAAACTTACGACTGTTACAGGGTGTGGGTAACCCTTTAGAACTGCTATCATGATAAGACGGCCCCATAAGGAGGAGGCTCTCGCCTGCGACTTCCTCGCAATTCGTTCACTGACGAGGTTCCCGCACGAGTTTTCCTCCAGATCCACGCCTCAAGGGCCCAAAAGTGAAGACTGTTACAAGACTTGGATGACCCGCTCGGATTGCCAACGTGATCTGGCGGCCCCATGGGGAAGGAGCTCCAACGTGAGACTGCCTTACGATTCACTCACCGGCGAGGCTCCCGCTTAAGATCTCCTCAATATGGATGTGCGAGCGTGTAAGTGTGAGAGCTTGTTCGTGCGTGGGTGCGTGTGCGATGATGGTGGTGGTGGTGATGATGATGGTGATGGTGGATGTGGTGATGATGGTGTGGGTGTGTATGGGTGATGATGGTAAAGGCGATGATGAGTGTGATGGTGATGGTGATGGTGATGGTGATGGTGATGGTGAGGATGCTGATGACGATGATACTGATGATGATGATGATGGTGATAATGATTATTATGGTGCTGCTACTGCTGCTGATGGTGGCGATGGTGACGGTGTTGATGTTGATGCAACTAATGACGGTGATGATGATGCTGATGCTGCTGATGATGCTCAGGATGATGATACTGATGATGATCATGATGCTGATGCTGGTGCTGATGCCGGCGCTGAAGATGCTGTTGATGGCAATACTGATAATTATGATTATGCAGATGATGACGATGCTGATGATGTTGATGCTGATGGTGATGCTGATGATGCTGCTGCTGATGATGATGATGCTGATGATGCTGATGATGATGATTCGATGGTGTGAGGAGGTCCTCCTGATGCTCCTGTTCCTGCGCGGGAGTGTCCACAGAAAACAAGGACCCCACTTCGGACGTGGGGAACATGTAATGGGTCCCATGAGTGCCACACATGCTCATGAAGCACTTAACCTCTTCCATGTTCATTTGCGCCCGCAAACTTAACCGCTACGGTCCTGTAGGCGACAAAAGTCAGACTGACTGATGTACCTGACGTGCCGACATCGGTCTCATCTTCCATGGCGTCTCAAGGTAAACGTGTGTGTGTGTATATGTTGACGTCGTCGCAAGGTCGCGCGAAGAGAGATTGCATCATCGCTGTTCGCGGCTTCCCGTGAGTGGTGGCGAGCGGGCAGCGCGCTGAGCAGCCGCCCGAGTGTCGCCTGAGTGCTGCCTTGTATGGCGAAAGGCGGGCTCGGGCAGGCGGCTGGCGACAACATGGCTGCGATCTCCTCCTCCTCCTCATCCTCCTCCTCCTCCCCCTCCTCCTCCTCCTCCCCCTCCTCCTCCTCCCCCTCCTCTTACTCCTGCTGCTGCTTCTCCTCCACCTCAGTTTGGTCCTCCTCAGCATTGTCCTCCTCCTCCATCCCCTCCTCCACCTGCACATATTTCTGCCTTTTCCCGAACCTTCGTCCCCTCCTTCTCCTGCTGCACCTCCCTCCACCATTACCTCCTCCTCTACAGTGATCCCAACCTCCTCATCCTCCTCCACCTCCTTCTGTGCCCTCCTCCTCCTCCTCCTTCTTGTCATCATCCTTGCTCATATCCCCAACGTCGTCCCCCTGATACTCTTGCTACTGTTCCTCCTCTCCCACCTCTTCGTCCTCATCGCCATCAGCATCAACCTGATCAGCGTCGTCAGGTTCATGACTGTCTTCATCGCCACCATCATCCTCTTACCTCTCCCCGCCCCTCTTCCCCCATGGGGGGTGCGGAGAGAGCGAGGGCAGGCAAGAGGAGGGGGAGGCAGGAAGGGGAGAAAAGACCTGCCCTCGATGGCGGCGCGTCGCCTTCTTGTAACCGTTGCGCTCGATCTCCAAGTGACGGTTTGGCGGGTTCAGGTACGCGCCGCACTGGCGTTCCTGCCCTTCCAGTCATCCGACCCTCCTCCCGCACTGCTCCTCCTCCTCCTCGTCCGGGTTCCGCCGTTATCATCCTCCTGCTCCTGCTCCTGATCCTGCTCCTGCTCCTGCTTCTCCTCCTGCTCTTCCTCCTTTTCCTCCTGCTCCTCCACCTCCTCCTCCTCCTCCTCCTTCCCCCTCCCAGTCATTATTACTCCTTCTTCCCTCCCTCAACCCCGCCCATCCATTCGTCCCTCTGTTTTATCATCCCTTCTTTCGCCTCTCTCCCCAATCATCCCTCCTCCTCCTTCCTCTCGTCCTTCTCCTCCTCCTCCGCCCTTTTCCTGATGGATGACGCCTCCCTGTCGCACTGCCAGAAGTCTGTCGGCATGGCCGTGCGTTTCGCTTGGGGATAAAAACTCGAAGAGCTACAACGATATCAAGGGCTGGTCGTTAGGAAAAGAAGGCTCTCGCCTCAGCGCCGCGCGCAATCGTCCTAGAAAACCGATCAGCTACACGGATGGAGAGAGTGTTGTTTTCAAAATGCGGCTATCGTCTTAGCACCGCGCACGCTCGCTTTGAACATTCCAGACAGAAGGATGGATACCGGCTCGTTTTCAAAATGCGGCTCTCGCCTTAGAGCCGCGGACACTCGTCTTGAAAAGTCAGGCGGTGCGTGCATCAAATAAAAACGCTGGGCTTGCAGGATTGGGACTCAGCTCAACATGAACCGAGACAACGCTTCCTTGATCGAGCACTCCACATAGGCGTGCCAAAATAGAAAGAAGCCCTCGTACAGTGGACACCGTAGTTCAGGACGTGGACGGGGGCAAGCAGGCACGCGACAAGAGTTAAGGTTTGCCCTTACCATGATGTTTCCGTGCCCCTTGCCTCCTCCTCCCCTCTTCCTCTCCTCCCCTCCCCTCCCCTCATCTCCCCTCCCCCCCCCTCCCCCCACCTCGTCACGAAGCGCGGCCCTCTTTCTGGTGGCATCTGCCGCCGCTCTTCCGTGAACCGTCTTGACAGAGATTGTTTTTTTCTGAGTCGAAGAAATCTGGCAGACGGGCTCGTGCGGGGTGTCACATGTAGGCTGCCCGAGCTCTTCTCTGTCTTAGGCCCTAGCATAGGAAAGCTGCTGCTGTCTCCTCGTTCCCGTTCCCGTATTGCTGTGCTGCCGCTGGCTCCCTCTGTCGTCCGCCTGCTCTGCTGCCTCCCCTCTCTCTCTCGCGTTCCTGCCCTCTGCGCGTTGCCCTCTGCTCGGTCTGCTCTGCATCCGCTTCCCTGTCGCTGGCCCCCTGCTCCTCTCTTTCTGGACGTTGCTGCTGGTTCTGGCGACGTGAACTTCAAATCTGTGCCACATGCGATGTGTACGGCTGGACCTGGGACAGAAGAACATGCTTCAAGAACATGAGGCCCCCCGCCAGCCAAACCGAAGAACACTCGAGGGTGCCCCGCCACCTTGCTGGGCGGGTTGGGCTATCGGGCCCCCATCGGCGATCGATGGGCGATTTGGGGTCGATGCATCCCCCCTATGCCTATCCCCCCATATCTTTGCCCTTGACCACACGCCGTCGAGGGCCCAGCCTTCTGTGGCCTGTTCGCAGATCGCTCCGGCGTCTTTTGTGCTCTCTCCTCCTGCCACGTATCGGCGGCAAGCGAGGGGGTAGGTGAGAAGGAGAAGGCCTTCTCAGAAGACGGCGGGGCTTCCCAGAAAAGCTCGGACTTTCTGAAAAGTTGTCGGTGCCTTTGGAGAAGACTTCGAACACTTCTCAGCAAGCCTGGGGACTTCCGAGCCCTCCGAGAAGGCCGTCTCCTTCTCACTTCCCCCCAGGCCCGCCGCCGAATGAAAGTCTTCAGTCCCTGGAGGTCTGGTGGGAAGGCGAATTTTTGAAAGTTGTTCCTGACCGCGTGCGGCTGCACCTACATTGCGACGTCACCTCGACGCACGATCCCCACCCCCTGGATATCAATGTTGGCTTCAAGCGAGTACCCCAAGTCCCAGTGGACAAAATAATGCAAGTCAACATTGAAATGTGGGGGGGAGTTCCTCAGAGATCGATGGGATCTTATCCACGCTAACACGTTGTTTTTCTCAGAACGCTCAGACCAATTGTCATATTTTTTGGTTCCGGGGAAATGGGGCATTTGTAAATGGGGCCGCAAACCGCAGCTGTAATAGTTCGCTGCGTGGAACTATTGCGCGCAACTATTGCGAACTATTGCGCCCGCGGGCTCAATTATTGCGTCACATTGCATGACCAGTCGCAACTATTGCATCGTGGCAGGCCGACGATTCAACTATTGCAAACTATTGCTCGCAAAAAACGAAAAGACAAACTATTGTATCACCGAGAAGCAGTATTGCGTTCGCGCGAAACTAGTGCACCCCGACCAATTGCACGAGGCACAGTACGATGTATGTGATCGCTTCCAACTGTTGCATGAACTATTGCGCGCACGTTTCGCGGCCCCATTTCCAAAGACCCCATTCGCCCGATTATGAATTTTGCCCAACCGCTTTCCCTGGAAGTTCCCGGAAGCCAGACGGTCGCCAACTTGGCGGCGAGCGAGGGGGGGAAGTGAGAAGGAGAAGGCCCTCTCAGGAGGCGGCGGGACTTCTCAGAAACCCTCGCGCCTTCGGAGAGGTCTTCTCTTTTCTGTCTCCGGGGAAGGTTTAGACAACTTCTCAGAAGGCCTGGGGGACTTCCGAGCCTTCTGAGAAGGCTCGCCCGATCTCACTTCCCCCCCCCTCTCGGGGGCGCGCAAACAGGGATTAGCGATCCATGGATTTGGCGCGCGGTCGCCAAATCCATGGATCGGGGGAGGTGCCCTCATCGAAATGCGGCCGGTGCCGCCTCGCTCGGCGGCGGAAATCCGCGATCTCCCATGGAAACGGGACCCGCCGCCAATCCACGCCCCCTTGATCCACGTTTGCGAGCGCCTGACTTCCCCCCCCCTCGCTCGCCGCCGACGAGCGCCTCGATCCCCCGCGAGCTCGCTACGGGCGACCTCCGGGCCCCCCGCCCGGGCGGGCACAAAGGCGGGCCAGGCCCGCCTCCAGTGGCGCTGGCGCGAGCCCCACGCGCGCGCGCGGAGAAACGGGCAGAGTGCAGCGCCAGCTGCTGGCTTTTGGGGGGCAACGCTAGCGATGAAAATTCGATAACAAGTCGACGACAAGTCGATAACAACGATCTGACAGCGGTCGAAACGATCACAACGATAACGATAACAAAGATCACATCGACAACGATAACAACGGTAACAACGATAACAACGTCTGTATCGTTATCGCTGTAAAAAGAGAATGACAAGAGATACGAATAACGAGTAGGAAGGCTGCTGAAACTGAGCCAGATCGTGGTCAGGGGTAGGACGAGTAGCGGCGACAAGTGAGGGGGGGAAGTGAGAAGAGAGCGAGAAGGGGTACGAAAAACAAGCAGGAAGGACGCTGAGAATGAGCCAGGTAATGGTCATGGGTAGCATGAGCATCGGCGGCGAGCGAGGGGGGGGAAGTGAGAAGGAGAAGACCCTCTCAGGAGGCTGGGCTTACTAGAGACCCTCGCGCCTTCTGACAAGTGTTTGATTGTTTTCGGGGAAAGATTAGAAAACTTCTCAGAAGGCCTGGGGACTTCCGAGCCTTCTGAGAAGGCCCGCCCCTTCTCACTTCCCCCCCTCGCTCGCCGCCGAAGGTAGGATGAGAAGCACAGTGTGCAGGTAGGAGGATGGGGGACACAGGGCGAGGAGGAAGAGTCAGACCGGGTGAAAGAAGGCAGGCCGGAGCGGCAGCAGCATCACCAAGCGCATGCACAGGAGGGGTGGGAAGCATACACCCTGCGAAATGCTTTAGAAATCATGGGTTAAGAAATTCATAGTCTCAGAACTTGAATAAAAACCCAAAATTCCCATTCGAATCTTAGGATTCACATTGAAACGTTAAGAATAATCGAGACTCTGGCCGAAAACTTAGGTTTTCTTAAGCATCGCCTAAGGTGTACCCGGTCGGGCAGAAAAAGCGCCCGCGGGAGCGCGCGCCCTGCTGAGGCGCGCCGGCCGGCGGCCTCGACGTGGGAAGCCGCGGAAGGCTCTCGGGAGGGCCTGCACGACCGTGCCGGGGGCTCTGCTCGCCTGGTCACGGCGCCCTGCCGCCGCACAGTCAAAAGCCCTAATCAGGACGCGCGGGAAGGACGCAACAAGACCCTTGGAAGCCGAAGTTGGGATTTTTTGGGGCGGCGGACGACGAAAACCCCGAGGGCGCAAGAGCAAGGAAGAGCGAGGGCGCAAGGGTACCCTGAGCAAAGCCGCGCGTCCTTATCAGGGCTTTTGACTGTACGGTGGAGGTGGGGGCGCTCCGGGCGGGTCGCGGCCAGGAGCCATGGCGGCGAAGGCGGGCGCACCCTGCTCGGGTACGTAACAAAGGGGGGACACGGGCGGGGGGAGGGGAGCGGAGGTGGAGGGCATGGAGGTGGAGAGCAGGGAGGTGGAGGGCATGGCAGAGGTGCGGGGCATGGAGATGGGGGAGAATAGAAGGGAGGGCATGGACGGAGGGCACTGGGATGGCGCATCCTGCTCGGGTAGAAAGGAGGACAGCGGCCGCGGGGCCGCCTGGCGCGGGCCCTCAGCTCCTGAAGGGCGTCAGAGCCAGCGCTGGGGGAGGGGCGAGGGAGGGAGAAGTGAGGAGGGAGACGAGGGAGGGAGACGGGAGGAAGCATGGAGGAGGGACGAGAGGGAGACAAGAAGGACGACGACGTCGAGAACCTGGCAGCAGGTGAAGAGGAGGAGGAGGAGGAGGAGGAGGAGGAGGAGGAACCGAAGAACGACGATGAGGAGGCGACTCCCCCCCCTCCATCGGCTCGAAAACCTTCTCCTCCATTTCCGCATGCGTTTGGCGCACCTGGTTGTCCATCCGCTCGTTGCGATCTCTGAGGGCCATGGCAGTCTGATAATGAACCTCGGTCTGCATCGTGAGGCCTCCCAGCCCGCGGAGACACAGAAATGCTAGTGCATAATCAGAAGAATCATGGGGCTCATGTTGTACAGAGGAGCAAAAGCTTAAATGGGGATGCTCATGCAAACAGTACAGCCGATACGCTGACAACTTCAGACATGGAGCGCTGAAACAGAAAGAGGTGTAGTGAAACAGCGCGGAGGAGAGCGAATGCCTCCTTCCACTCCCTGCCGCCCTTTTTCCTTGTCTCCCCATAGATAGAATATATGTATGTATAGAGAAAGAAAAAGACAACCAATAAAACAAACAACACCAAAATATTGTGTGTGTGTGCGAGAGGGGGCCGGGGAGACCCAGAGGGAGAGAGAGAGAGAGAGAGAGCTCTGCTACCAGGTAGAAGAGAAACCATCGGAGGATGGTAAGCCTTGAGGTTGATGTAGGAGCAGGTAAGATCTTTCCATCTACGCACTAATATTAAGTCGGGCGTGTCCCCCTACAGGGGGGATTTTCGACGACAAAAAAAATACCCCCTAAAATACCCCCAAATTGACAAAAAAACATACAAAAAATAGTCCCCAGACTATTTTTTGACTATTTTTGAATATTCCCCCTGTAGAGGGACAGGCCCGACTTAACACCAATAGCCAGAATCACGTAGCGAAACTTGATAATCATATCCTGGTGCCGACGCCATGAGCCAGAGCGGCCGCGGATGCGCTCGCTCCTGCCTGGCCTCCGCTCGCTCATGCGGCTACGATGCGCACGGCGGCAGCTCCCTCTTTGATGGGGCAGAGCCATGTGCAAACAGCACATCCAGAAGGGGGAGGATACGTCCGGCCTTGGGAGGATACTGGATCCCAATTTTCTATTGGAAAGAAAAACTGTGTTGTGCAATCCATGTTGTGCAGTCTACGGGGGGCGGCAACAAGGCGGCGACGGCGGCAACAAGCGCGGCGACCGGCAGACAGGCCCAGACGACGGGGCAGCGACGGGGCGGCGACGGGGCGGCGACGGCGACAACAAGCGCGGCGACTGACAGACAGGCCCGGACGACGGGCGGCGACGAGGCGACGAGTGAGCAGCGACGGCGGCAACATAGCCGCAAGACCGACAGACAGGCCCAGACGACGGACACCGACGGACGGCGACGAGGCGGCGACGGGGCGGCGACGGGGCGGCAACATAGCCGTCAGACCGACAGACAGACCCAGCTCCATAGAAGCAGATAAGAGCCCCTAAGTGCAAACACTTTTGAGTCGCGGGTCGAGAGCGCACCAACCCTAACTGCAAACACTGCTTGGGGAATAATTGAAAACAAATAGAACCCCACGCAAATCAACGCAATTAGAAACAATGAAAATCCATACGAAGTGAAAGCAGTAAGAAATCACTACAACTGAAATCGATGAGAAGTACACGCGAATCCAGAAACTGGAATACAATCATAAACCAATACAAGTGGGAACAATAAGAAACCTATTTTATGGAAGCACTAAGAACTTAAAACGCTAAAAAACAACAGGGAACCCATACGAACTGGAAAACAACCAGAAATCAATACAAGGGCCTTTCCTTCGCGCGGGGATATTTCGCTTTTTCGGGAGCCACGACAATTTTTGGCTTCCCGTTGGATTTGGTTTGTTCTTCCATAGCAATCACAGGTTTCCAGGACGTTGCTCCACGAAACCTGCGAGACTACACCCTAGGCGATGCTTAAGAAAACATAAGTTTTCGGCCAGAGTCTCGATTATTTTTAATGTTTCAATGTAAACCCTAAGATTCTAGTCGAAATTCTGCATTTTTATTCAAATTATGAGGCTTTGAATTTCTTAACCCATGATTTCTTAAGCATTTCGCAGGGTGTACCCCAAACAACAAAACAACAACAGCAACATTAACAACAGCGGCAGCAACAACAGCAACAACAACAGCAACAACAACAACAGTAACAACAACTACAGCAACAACAACAGCAGCAACAACATCAACAACAACAACAGTAACAACAACAACAGCAACAACAACAACAACAGCATCTCGAAACACGAAAACAGGCCTTCGGGATCCCGGGCTGGGGGCGGGGGGGGGCCGGGCCAGTCCAGGCTCCCGCTGGGCTCTCCCGCCAGCCCTGGCCTTCCCCCAGTCTGGGCGGGGTTGGCGAAGACCTTGGGATCTGTGTCTTTCTGGGTGTTGGGTTTTTGATGACTGTTCGTTTTTTTGCCATGGGATTTGGAAGCGTCAAGCGTCAAGAGGAGATCCGTGGCACTCATGGAACAACAGATCGACATGCACAGAACACAAAAAACAAATCAGAGCCCATGGAACATTAATAATCCTCGTGGCCCTCCTGAACAACCAGCTATCCTCGCGCGAAGGAGAGGCCATCCTCCTCCGACCCTTCTCTCTCTCTCTCTCTCCCTCTCCCTCCCTCTATCTCTCTTTCCCTCTCGACTTCTCAAAACACAGGAACACACCCTCCTACACCAATTCCTCTCTCTCTCTCTGTCCTCCCCTCTCTTCATCTCTGTCTCTGTCTCTGTCTCTCTCTCTCTCTCTTTCCCCCCATCTCTCTCTCTCTCTCTCTCTCTTTCTCTCTCTCTCACTCTCTTTCTCTCTGTCTTCCCCCCTCCTTCCTCCTCCTCCCTTTCCTCATTCCTGTTTTCTCACTCATCTTCGTTCGCATCTGCGTTAATATCTAGATCAACATATTCGCTGGCGCTCCTCGGGCTTGCATATGTGCAGATGGGGTCCCCTGGGGAACTATCATATAGACATAACATACGCATACATACATATACGACTGCATTGGCGCTTCGCGCCATGCACTTTGGTCCTTGAAGTCTGACATGCAGGCAGGAGGGCAGTCAGGTAAAACGGAACATTTAGCGATAACGCGTTGTCGCCCCTTGTGGCATCGTCGTTGTAATATTTATTCGTTCTCCTCCCCTCATGATTCCTACTCCTCTTCCTCATTCTCGCCCTACCGTGCGAATTCGTCCCCATCCTCAGCTCTTTCTGCGGAGGCTCTTCCTGGGAGTACCTCTTGGGGGCCTCAAGAAAGTTTTTAAGGGCTTGTTGGGGTCTTTTGGAAGCCTCCTGGCCCTCTTCTGGGGGCCTCAAGGGGCTTCCCCAGGCCACCCTGCTTCCAACCGCGGTCTCCCTGAACGACTAGGCCACGACTTGGAATGATTCGGGGGGCGTCTTGGGGCCATCTTGGGCCGTCATGAGGCTCTTTTCTGACCATCATGGGGCCCTGTTGGGCCGCCTTGGGGCTCCTCTTGGGCTGGCTGGAAGCCCTCTTGGTTAAATTTTAGGGCGGCTCTCTGGCCTCCGGGGCGGTCTCGGACGCCCGGAAGACCGAAGAACAAAACACTCCCCAAATCAAGCAAAAACAATAAAACAATCAATTGTTGTTGCATTTCGAATGCCTCGTGGGGACCTTCTTTGGGTCGTCTTCGGGCATCTGGTGGGTGTTTGGGGCCTCTGTGGGCTCCCGCGGGGCCGTTCGGCAGCCCTCCTGACCGATTTGGGCGCGTTGCCTAGGCCCACCAGGGGCTTCAGGAGCCCCGGAAGGCATAAGGGAACGTCTGCAGGGTGCCCCCGGGGCCAAGGATCCAGGGGGGGTCCCGTTAAGGGGGGGGGTCGCAGGGTTCCAGATGATGAAAACATTACAAGAGGAATATGGGCGCGCAAACACACAAATACATATGCACACACCCACATATATATATGGTACATACACAGTATGTGTGTACATGTGTACAAGTCCAGATACATACACACATATATATATATATATATATATATATATATATATATATATTATGTATGTATGTATGTATGTAGAAATAGATGTATCGTATGATGCGTGTATGTGCATGAATATGTTGGTGTATATGTATGTATATATATATATGTATATGTATGTGCATATGTATGTGTATACTATACGTACATGTGTGCCAATGTAAACTATACATTATATTTTAGTCATATCGTATTTATACATATGTATATTTGTACATGTATATGCATATGTACGTGCATACGTCTATGTATATGTGTATACATATTTTTATATGTATACACGTATGTTTGCACACATTTTTATATATACACCTATATGGCAATGTATGGTATCACACTCTCTCTCCATACATATATATATATACATGAACGCATGTATGTGTATATATATGTGTTCATATATATGTATATCCCTTTTATATCCGTGTCTTGTTATGTTTCTCTCTCTCTCGCTCTGTTTCTCTCTCTCTCTCTCTCCCTTTCTTTATCCCTTGATTTGTTTTTTTGTTTTTTCCTCTCTCTCTCTCTCCCTGTCTGCCCCGTGTTCAATGTAGTTGTTGTTTCCTCTCTCTCTCTCTCTCCGTCTCTTCACATATGTGCGCGTGCTAAAGCTAGAGGGCAAAACATCCCCCCCCCAGAATAACCACCCCGACACGCGAAGCCGTTTACTAAACGCGCCCCCACCACTGAAGGAATCGACAGGGCAGGGCTGTTTAGTAAACGCCCAAGGCCGTTTAGTAAACGCCAATTATCCGGTCCGGTTGGTTTTTCCTTCTTTGAAAGCAGCTATTGCACTGAAGCGGTTTTCGCGGATATTGAAAGGCTTTGGGAAACTCAGCCGACGATTTGGGTAAGCGGCCAGGCTACTGGGTTCCCAATCCCACGTTCCTGGGTCCTCGCGGATATCCTGCACATGTTAGACAGCGTGGACCCCAACCGGTGACTTCTTGCAACTCACGCGGTGCAGGTCAGGTGGTGCAACTCAGTTCTGTCGCAGTGCGTTGTCGTCTCCACTGCTCGCGCAACTGTCCCAACCGCCCAGCCGCAACTTGGTTCGCGTAAGCCCATGCGGCGGCGATTGCGATGAACGGTTGCTGTTGGCTGGCGCATCTCTGCGGCCGCGCTAGCCCGCGAATGCTCGCGCGCGCAGCGGCCAGGTAGTTTGGTGCGACTGCCGCGGCCGCGGTGGCGTTGAATGCTGGGCACTTCCCAGCATTTCCGAACGGGCACTTCATTGCGAGTCGGCGACTTGGGCGGGCGCGGTATCATGGCAACGTTGACAACGGTGTACGCGAGGATGATAGTAGCGATGCTGGTGACGATGACGGTAACGACGACGGCAAGGCCAGTGACGGCGCCGATGCTGATCACGCCGACGACGACGACGACGCCGTCCTCGCGTCGGTGATGAAGGTTTTGGAAGGAGTTCGACATGCGCGCGCGTCCGTCGCGCGAGAGTGGCCCGCATGGTATGTATTATTTGTCACGGATCGTGCCCCCCATAGCACGCGCGCAAGGGCGTTCGAATGATTTTGACATGCGGCGCGAGAGCCCCGCTTGGCAGAATGTAGAAGAATTTTTGTAGAACTCGCGCTTCTCTTCAAAGTTCCCAAAAACGCGAGCGCAGTTTTTTGTTTTTGAAAACTGGCGTTGCAAATCCATGCTTTTATGCCGAATGTGTGTTCGGACGTTCGATTTTCAAATTCCTGGCGAAACCCAAGGTTTTTGAATGATTTCGGCGTGCGCGCGACGACGCGCGCGTGTGCACTTCGTCCTGTTTTTCTGCCAGGGAATATTGCGACAGCGCGCAAGCAGGGGCGTTCGAACGATTTCGATGTGCCCGCGCAAAGGGCCCGCTTGGTAGCATGTGATGAGGATGTTAAGAAACTCGCGGTGGTCCTAAGAACTCGCAAGAGAGCGGGCGCAAGCCTTTCTGAAAATTACTGTTGCGAATCTGTGTGTTTTTATGTGTGTTCGGGGCACTCGATTTGAAATCCTTGCGAAACCGACAGTTTTTGAAAGATTTTGATATGCGCGCGCAACGGCGCGGTGTGTGCACTTCGTCTTGTGTTGCAAGGGGTGCTTGAAAACTACTGATTTTTGATAAACGAATGCGCGCGCATAGAATTGTCTGCAGAGGATGAGGGGGGCGATGTCAGCCTGCCGGGGTGAATGGGAATTCGCATTTTGGATGGACAATGAAGCAGAACCGTTTGCAAATTCGGGGGGGGGGGGGGGTCCTGGTCGCATTGTCACAAAAAAAAAAAAAACGCGACCGAGGGGCCCCACATACTTAATTAAAATCTTATGTGTTTGCTTAAATGTACAATATATATGCAATTCTGCGTTCTGAGCCCTAGTCGGGGACCACCACCCCCTGCGCACCCCCTATGGTGTCGAGAAAATGCCACGCCTGCTGTGCCCTGGACGACCGTCGTGCATAGCGGCCGCGGTGAGGGACCACTCCCCCCCGCGCACCCCCTCTGGTGTCGAGAAACTGCCACGCTTGCTGGGCCCTGCGACATTGGCGCGTACAGAGACCGCGGTGAGAGACCACACCCTTGCGCACCTCCTCTGGTGTCGAGAAATTGCAACGCCTGCTAGTGGTGTCGAGAAAGTGCCACGCCTGCTAGGCCCTGCGACATTGGCGCGTATACAAACCGCAGTGAAAGACCACCTCCTGCGCACCCCTTCTGGTGTCGAGAAAGTGCTACGCCTGCTAGGCCCTGCGACATTGGCGCGTATAGGGGCCGCGGTCAGAGACCACCCCCTTGCGCACCCCTCTGGTGTCGAGAAAGTGCAACGCCTGCTAATGGTGTCGAGAAAGTGCCACACCTGCTAGGCCCTGCGACATTGGCGATCATAGAGACCGCAGTGAGAGACCACATCCTGCGCACCCCCCTGGTGTCGAGAACGTGCTACGCTTACTGGGCCCTGCGACATTGGCGCGTATAGGGACCGCGGTGAGAGACCACCCCCTGCGCACCCCCTCTGGTGTCAAGAAAGTGCCACGCCTGCCAGGCCCTGCGACATTGGCGCGTATAGGGGCCGTGGTGAGAGACCGCCCCCCTTGCGCACCCCCTCTGGTGTCGAGAAAGTGCCACGCCTGCTAGGGCCTGCGACATTGGCGCGTATAGGGCCTGCGGTGAGAAACCACCCCCTGCGCACCCCCTCTGGTGTCGAGAAAATGCCACGCCTGCCAGGCCCTGCGACATTGGAGCGTATAGGGGCCTCGGTGAGAGACCACCCCCTGCAACCCCCCTCTGGTGTCGAGAAAGTGCCACGCCTGCTAGGCCCTGCAACATTGGCGCGTATAGGGACCGCGGTGAGAGACCACCCCCTGCGCACCCCCTCTGGTGTCGAGAAAGTGCCACGCCTGCTAGGCCCTGCGACATTGGCGCGTATAGGGGCCGCGGTGAGAGACCACCCCCTGCGCACCCCCTCTGGTGTCGAGAAAGTGCCACGCTGCTAGGCCCTGCGACATTGGCGCGTATAGGGACCGCGGTGAGAGACCACCCCCTGCGCACCCCCTCTGGTGTCGAGAAAGTGCAACGCCTGCTAGTGGTGTCGAAAAAGTGCCACGCCTGCTAGGGCCTGCGACATTGGCGCGTATAGGGACGGCGGTGAGAAACCACCTCCTGCGCACCCCCTTTGGTGTCGAGAAAATGCCACGCCTGCCAGGCCCTGCGACATTGGCGCGTATAGGGGCCTCGGTGAGAGACCACCCCCTGCAACCCCCCTCTGGTGTCGAGAAAGTGCCACGCCTGCTAGGCCCTGCAACATTGGCGCGTATAGGGACCGCGGTGAGAGACCACCCCCTGCGCACCCCCTCTGGTGTCGAGAAAGTGCCACGCCTGCCACGTGCCCCTCTATGTGGGGTCTGCCACGCTCTCCGACGTGTGGTGTGTCTGTGTGGTGCGATGCGGTCACGCCTGCCGTGCCCTGCGCGCCTGCCCTGTGTGCTCAGCTGTGCCGAGCTGTGCTGTGCTGTGCTGTGCCGAGCTGAGCTGTGCTGAGCAGCGCTGTGCTGTGCTGCGCTGCGCTGTGTTGTGAAGTGTGCTACGCGTGTCTCATGTACGTGCCGTGCAGGTGTTGCGCGTGCGTGAGGGAGTGTATGTGTGTATGTGTGTTTGTGTCTGTGTGTGTGTGTCTGTGTGTCTGTGTGTATTTGTCTGTGTCGGTGTGCCTGTGTATGTATGTATGTATGTCACGTCTGCCACGGTTTGCGGGAGAGGGAGGCGTGTGCGGGAGACGCGGGTGCCACGCGGCAGGGAAGAAAACCAGAACCCCACGAAACATGTGGGGAACTAAAACCAGTGTGGTGCAATCTAGGTGGTGCAGACATGTGGTGTAAAACAGTGCAGAGCAAAGGAAAACAATGCCACGCAAAACAGTGCAAAGCAATACAAAGCAATGCAACACAATGCAGAGCAATCCAAAACAATGAAGCGCAACGCAATGCAAAGCAACGCAACGCACAGCAATGCAACGCCATTCGAAGCAATGCGAAGCAACGCAAATCAACATCACGCAATGCGACGCAACGCAACCCAACTCGATAAAATGCAGTGCTACGCAGCGCAACGCTCACTGCAAAGCAACACGGGCCCGGAAGGCGACGGGGCGGCGACGGCGACCACATAGCCGCCAGACCGAAGGGCAGGCCCAGACCGACGGGCTGGCGACGGCGACCACGTAGCCGCCAGACCGGCGGGCAGGCCCAGCGGACGGGCGGCGGCGAGGCGGCGACGAAGCGGCGACGGCGACCACAGAGCCGCCATACCGACGGGCAGGCCCAATATCTTGGGGAAGAAATCGGAAACCAGTGCGAGCACCGTTTGAGAAAGAACTGCACTTCGCCACCGATTTCGGCAGGCCGACGCGTTCCTGGGCTCTGGGCTCCACGCTCTGGGCCTCCTTCCGCCCTGCTCTCCCCTGGAGCTGGCGGAGGAGGAGCAAGACGACACGACGACGACGGCAACGACGACGACGACGACGACGACGACGACGACGGCGACGACGGCGACGACGACGGCGACGAGGTCGCAGCCGCGGGCTCCTAGGCCGCCCGGGCGGGAGGGATGATGACAAAGGTGGTGATGAGGAGGACGCTCCAACCCGTTCCCTTGGGCCGTCTAGCAGTCGTTTGAAGCGCTCCTCGCGCATCTCGTGCATCCTCTTCAGCTTGTCTTGTATCTCCTCGGGCCATGGAAACGTGTGCGCGTCGGGGAACGGCGCAGAGAAGCAGATGTACCCCTCGCCTCTCCTCACCTCCTCACCCCCTTTGCTCCTCCCGCTCCTCCTCCTGCTTCTCCTCCTCCTCCTCCTCCTCCTCCTCCTCCTCCTCCTCCTCCTCCCCATCATCATCATCATCATCATCATCATCATCAGCAGCAGCAGCATCATCATCCTCGTCCTCATCATCACCATCGTCATCGTATCGTCATTGTCATCACCATCATCATCGTCATCAACAGCATCGCCATCATCATCATCAGCATCATCATCATCATCATCATCATGATCAACACCACCACCATCATCATCGTTGTCATCATCGCTTTCATTAGATCACCATCACGACCACCACAATGGTCGTCATCATCATCATCATCAAAAGCAAAGCATCGTCATCGTCATCGTAATCGTCACCATCATCATCGTCATAATCATCATCATCATCATCATCATTATCATCATCATCGTCCTCGGCATCGTCATCGTCAGCAGCAGCATCATCATCGTTGTTGTCGTCGCCGTTATCATCACCATCATCAGCATCATCATCACCACCACCATCATTCAAATCGCCATCGTCATCGTCATCATCATCATCATCATCATCATCATCATCATCATCATCATCGGTATCATCATCACCATCATCATCATTACCATCAGCATCCTCATCGTCCTCATCATCAACATCGTCATCGTCATCGTCATCGTCATAAGCATCATCATCGACATCATCATTATAATCAGCACCACCACCATGATCATCATTGTCATCATCACTGTCATTAGATCACCATCACCACCACCACAACCACAATGGTCATCACCATCATCAATATCATCAGCATCAGTATCATCATCAACATCGTCATCTTCATCGTCATCGCCATCGCCATCTCCATCGTCATCGTCATCGTCATTGTCATCATCATCGCCGTCATCGTCATCATCGTCATCATCATCGTCATCGTTATCATCATCACCATCATGATCACGATCACCATCATCATCATCGTCGTCATCGTTATCATCAGCATCATCATCGTCATCGTCATCGTCATCGTCATCTTCATCATCATTACCATCATCATCATCATCATCATCATCATCATCATCATCATCATCATCATCATCATTATCATTGTCATCGTCATCGTCATCACCATCATGCCTCAATGTCGGCTGCATTTTTGGTCCAGACGGCCACGGCCCCTTGTAAACACTATGTCTCGGTGCACATGACCGTGCTTCCCCTAGGAATCTCAAATCATACATAGGGATGCACGTTCTCACTAGCCGACCTCCAACTCCTCGACACGCCTCTGCACCGTTACTGCTACTACGGTGCTTCATTGGGGCAAGCTGACTCCGCATAACGCGATGACGTCCTTCTGAGGGTCGCATATCCGCTATGACGCCCGGAATCAGCGCATTGGGAAGGGATGATTGATAGGTGTCGGATGTCAGATATGGCGCGAGAGCGCCAAACTTTTCCTCCTCCTCCTCTGTCTCTCTTTTCTCCGTCTCCCTCTTCTCTCCTCTTCCTCCGGCGATGGCTCGAGTGTCCCCTCTGGTTGCGCGTGCAGAAATTGGCCGCTTGCCCACAGTCGCCTGCCATGTTCGCGCCACGGCGATGCCGAAACCTGCCCTTCCCAGGCGGGCACCGAAAGCGGCCCACTCCCTTAGGGAGAACGAAAGCCGACACAGACACGAAAACTCGGAGGTCCGCGCGGATCTCGCAGATCCGAGAGATCCGCGCGGAACTCCGAGTTTCTATGTTTGTGTCGTTCTTCGTTCCCCTGTGCCTGCGCCCGCAGCACCTGCCACCCCGCCGTCAGCCTCTCCGGCGGCGGCGACGACTGCGCCCACGCCTCCCCCGAAACGGCGCCGGCTACACGCAAGAGTGACCTCTGGTGCGCGGCTTCTTGGGGGCCGCGGGGAGACCAAACCTGGGCGCGCAAGCCCCTGCTACCGCCTCGTTTCCAGCCCTCTGAGGGCCCATCTGTGCCCGCAGCAAAGGTCACTCCGGCGAAAGGTCACTCTTACGTCTCATCGGATCCGGCGGCACGCCCCCGGCCCGCGCGCGCGACGGAGCGGCCCTCCGTCGGCCGCTTGGCGGCCCACGCCCACCGCCGGCGCCCTCCCGCGACGAGGAAAAGCAGTGGCTACGACGGGCGCGCACGCCCGCCGCCTCGAAGACTACTATGGAGGGCTCGTTTTCCACCACCACCACCACCACCAGAAGTAGGAGGCGGAGGGGGTCCTCCCTCTCCTCCTGCTCCTCCTCCTCCTCCTCCTCCTCCTTCTCCTCCTCCCCCTCCTTCTCCTCCTCCTCCTCCTCCTCTTCCTCCTCCTCCTCCTCCTCAGCCTCCTCCCCCCCTCCAACTCATGGTGGTGGTGGTGGAAAACAGGCCCATGATGCTACCTCCTGGACTAGTGGCGCCTGGAGGCCGCCCAGGCGGACACCGGCACCCGCGAGCGGTGGTCCCCGCGGCCCTCCGGCCGCGGCAGGGCGCCCTGCAGTGGCCGGCCCTGCCGGCGTCGACCACCAGTCCGGCGACCCCAGCAACCACGACGACGCTCCCGCCGGAGGAGGAGGAGGAGGAGGAGGAGGAGGAGGAGGAGGAGGAGGAGGAGGAGCAGATGAGGAGGAGGAGGAGGAGAAGAGGAGGAGGAGGAAGGGGAGGAGGAGGAGGGAGGAGGAGGAGGAGAGAAGGAGGAGGAGGAGGAGGAGGTGGAGGAGGAGATGGAGGAGGAGGAGGAGGAGGAGGAGGAGGAGGAGGAGGAGGGAGGAGGAGATGGAGGAGGAGGAGGAGGAGGAGGAGGAGGAGGAGGAGGAGGAGGAGAAGGGGAAGGAGGAGGAGGAGGAGGAGGAGGGGAGGAGGAGGAGAGAGGAGGAGGAGGTCCCTGGAGACGAGCACCCCCCACCCGTCTCCCCGAGAGCCGCGGCAGCGCCAGGCGCGCCCCGCGGCGCGGCCGCTCCTGCTGTGGGTGCCGTGCCGCCCAACCCAGGCCTGCAATCAAGGACCCCCCCTTCCGGTGAAACGATGGAGCGACAACGAATCCAGCATTCAGAAACGCTATCCTGGCACCCTGAGGAGGAGAGGAGGAGGAGGAGGAGGAGGAGGAGGAGGAGGAGGAGGAGGAGGAGGAGGAGGAGGAGGGGAGGAGAGGAGGAAGGAAGGAAGGTGGAGGAGGAGGAGGAGAAGGACGGAAGGAGGAGGAGGAGGAGGAGGAGGAGAAGGAGGAAGGGGAAGAGGACAAGGAGGACTGCTGCCACGAACGCCCACGGCTCCCGACAGGAGCCCCGAGGCCGCTCGAGCGAGGGAGCCGGCACCGCCCGTCGCCCGCAGCGGCGGCAGGCCTCTCTCTGTGGCGTCCGGGGCCCGCGACGGGGCCCCCCGGAGCCGCCTCGGACAGCCTCCCGCCTCCTTCCTCCCTCCTCCTCCTCCTCCTCCCTCCTTCCCTCCCCCCCCCTCCCCCCTCCCTCCCCTCCCTCCCTCCTTCCTCCATACCTCCCCTCCTCCCTCCCTCCCTCCCTCCCCCCGATCCGTCGGCGTCTCTCCGAGGCCGCCGCGCGAATGCCACGAGCACCGCACGGACAGCAGCGCCCGTGGCGGCCGCAGCCTCGCCGCCACGCGCACACCACCTGCCACCAAGACGCGGCAGGCGACGGCGGCGGCCCAAGCGACCCCGTGCCGAGGGCTCAGGGGCCACAGCGTGCCCGTGCTTCGCTGGCTGCAGCTCCTACGACGTGCACGCCCCCTGGCGGGCCAGAGTCCGCTCCGCTACTGGAGCTGGAACCTGCCGTCGACCTCCACTGCGGCATGCCTGCCTCTACGACGTCAAGGTCCATGACGGGCCCCAGGAGCCGTGTCGCTTATGGAGACCGAGCAACGACGACGACGACGGCGACGGCGACGGCGACGACGACGACGACGATGACGACGACGACCGCGACGACCACAATGGCTTCTCGATGGTAACGCAATCCACGCCGCCCCCCATCGCCAAAGCTAGTTGGCTTCCACACTACGACCCTGACGAGGACGAGAACGACGACGACGACGACGACGACGGACAGGGCCCGTTCGGCGAAAGCGAGCCGCCCCAGAAAGAGGGCCTGCTCCCCAGCCCCAGCGAGCTCTACCCCCTCAAGGCCGATGCCACCCCGGCCGAGGCCACTCGCCAGGAGGCACACATCCTCAAAACGGAGGCGCAACTCCGCGCCTGGCGCTCACCCACGCCGCCGTCCTCGTTTTCCGCCGTGCCCGAGCCATCGGCGTGGGTGAACGGCGTATCGCGAGCACCCAGTGGCGCTACGAGAAGGAGCGAGGTTCGCGCGGGAGGCGGCTCACCAGAACATGCTGGTCCGTCCCCCGAAGGGGGGGGGCGCGTCGCCAGAACTCATTCTCCGCCGCAGCCGACCTAGGTGAGGTTCCCGCTCGACACTTCAATACAAATCACTCAACAACGAACCTCCCGCTCGAGACATCTTTCCAAGTCACCCAGCGCCCACGAGGCATCCTACTCGGCAAGTGTCGGGCAGCTGGTCGGCAACTGGCCAGCAGCGTCTGGGGCAGCTGCCGCAACCGCCATGGGAGAGATCTTCTGCTTGCTCACAGAACGCATCCTTCGAAAAGCCTCTTCGCCCTGGGAGAGATTCGGGATCTCCTTTTTACCTATGTGAGGGCCATGAGATGAAAAGGCATGAAGGCAAACTCACATACTCTTGTTCTTGTCAACACTTGGGCCTCGGAGGTTGCGCCGTCCAGTTGCCCAGGACGTTGCTGGCCCAAGGCGATCCCAAGACCCTCCAAGGGACTCCCAAGAGGCTTCACGAGGAGCCAAAGAGGACCCCAAGAGCTCCCAAGAAGATCCCACACGGCATCCAAGAGGCCTCTGGTCTGTGACTCAGCAGGATGGTAGGATGGGCCGAAGGCTAACCGATGCACTGCTTC